CCACCACGGGAAAGCACAATGTGTCCCACTGCAGCCAGGCGCAAGCAGCCCCCTAACACTCCTCTTGGGGGCCGTGGGGGCCAGCCTAGGATACAGCTAGAGTGGGAGGGGCCCAGGAGTGGTGAGGAGCAGAGGGACCTGTGAGGAGCTGAGGACCAGGCCCTCCTCCAGGCCACACCCAGGGCAGAGTGAGCGGTGTGGGCGGCACCTGCCACCCCGGGGGCTCCAGCTGCCCGAGACCACTGTTCACTTGTGGTCTCCCGTCCCTGCGTGGAGGAGGGAGCGGGGCGCTGGGCGCTGACAGCCCGCCCAGCCCCCCAACGGCCCCACTCACCCAGGCAGGGCTGCCCTGGCCGGGTGGCTCAATTGGTTGGAGTGTCGGCCTGCACACCAAAAGGCTGCTGGTTCAATTCCTGGTCAGGGCACAAACCTAGGTTTCGGGCTCAGTCCCTGGTTGAGACACGTACAGGAGGCAACTGATTGATGTTTCTGTCACATCAATGTTTCTCTCTTTCTCTCTCTCCCTTTCTCTCTAAAATGAATAAAAACATATCCTTAAGTAAGGGTTTACAAAAGAAGATAAGATTATGGTTGATAACCTCTCACTATAAAAAAAGAAAAAGATGCCCTAGCCAGTTTGGCTCAGCGAATAGAGCTTCGAACTGCAGACCGAAGGGTCCCAGGTTCAATTCTGGTCAGAGGCACAGGCCTCGGTTGCAGGCTCCCCCCTGGCCGGGCCCTGGCGGGGCACATGCGGAAGGCAACCAATTGATGTGTCTCTCTCACATCGATGTTCCTCTCTGTCTTTCCTTCTCTCTTCCACTCTCTCTAAAAATCAATGGAAAAATATCCTCCATTTTTTGGGTGAGGATTAACAAAACAAAAGAAAAAGAAAAAAGGAAAGAAAAAAGAAGAGGTGTTTTGAGAGTGGTGTGTGGGATGGGGGAGGAGTCATGTCCTCAATTGGGTACCAGGGACCTGGGTCTCTCTTTCTCTCTTTTTTTTCAGAGAGAAAGAGAGAAGGAGAGAGAGATAGAAACATCAACGATGAGAGAGAATCATGGATGGGCTGCCTCCCGCATGCCCCAGACGGGGGATTGAGGCTGCAACCCAGGCCTGTGCCCTTGACCGGAATGGAACGGGGGACCTTTCAGTCCGCAGGCTGACGCTCGTCCCACTGAGCCAAACCGGCCAGGGCCTGGGTGTCTCCCGAGGCCAGCGTGGGGCCCCTCAGGGCAAAGTTTATGGGGAGGAGGCAGGGGAGAGCCCGCACAGGCTCCTGCCGGGCGGGGCACTGATGACCCCTGGGTCACCTTGCTGCCCAGAGTGGCGGGGGCTGGGCAGCACTCCCAGGACTCCTGGACTGTAAACACCAGACACCGGGAAGTGTGTGTGAGTGGAGGCCTCCTTCCCGGCACACTCACACCTCTGCCCGCCCCGCGCGGGGCGGAGAGCCCAGGACCGCCAGCCACCCTAGGGAAGGGCCCAAGCGGAGGGCCACAGCCGGCCCCCGGCCCCCGTGGGCGGCATGCAAAGTGGAAGGGGCGCCAAGGCCCGAGCCCCAGGACGCGGTGACCGCTAGCACCTGGTCCGGCACCCGGCCAGGGACAAGGGGGCAGCGCAGGCCCCGCCCCCTGCTCTCACGGCCCCGCCCCCGAGTTAATTTCTCTTCCCAATA